ACGGGCAAGTAAACCCCGCAGAGCTTGGCTCCGCCAAGCAAGAAGACCGCGCTGGGTCCGGGTGGGCCATTTCCGCGTGTGCGCTGGCTGGGGACCCGCAGGTGATCGCTTGCATGTTTGTGGATGTGGAAGGAACTTTGGTGGCGCCGTCCAGGGACCTGTGAGTGCTGGAGCAAGCTTCCACGGTTTCCAGGCGGGGTGTGCCAGGAGTCCAGCTCCGCACTCCCACGTGGGGCCGCGGGATCCCTGCGGCTCAGTCCTGGGGAGGATCAGCTCGGATTTGAGTCGCCCCCCACCTCCGGTCGGCGGTCTCAACGGAGGCGGGAAGCTCCTTCACCTCTCCCCGCCGCTGCAACTCAGCCTTGACAACTCTGCGGGTGCGCCTTACCTATCTCTCGGCAAGACTCCGAGGGGCGCCGGTCTGCTCGTCGGACACCTGGCCCTCGCTCGCGGTGCCGCTGCAGGGCACCTCTCTGCTCTCCGCTGGCCTCTCCGCGCGCCGCCGGCGCCCAGCACCGCCCCGCGCCCCCTGCACTCTGCGCGCCGACCTGCGCTCTGTCGGCTCCCTTTTTCCTTCCCCGGGGCGTCCCCTCCTCCGGCCCCGCCCGGCCCCCAGCACACCCATTCCTCCTCCCCAGGCTGGCTTCGGGCGCCTCCGCCCAGCGGCCTGGCCTCGCCCGGCTGTGGGCTCCGACCCTTCCGTCCCTTGCAGCGCCCGCTTCCTGGATCTGAGACCAAATGCCTCTCCCTTCACTTCAGCTTGCCCGGCGCTAGGCTGATCTCCGGAAGGCGAGGCTGAGCGTTGGGTGCTGGTGGAATCAGGGTTTGCTCCTAAGAGGCTGTGTGATGGTGGGCAAGTCGCTGCTTCTCTGGGCCGTGGCTTCCTCGCTGTAAAATGGGTACAGTTCCTGCAAGCATTCTCCACAGTGATGTTAGGGTCAGATGAGATCTTAGAATCCAAAGTATTAAAGCCCGATGGTCACCAGAGAAGTCATCTGATTCTAACACAAACTCTCTTTTTCGTTCAGTTTGGGGAAGGGACTGGCTTCAAGGAAGTCAGTGGCAGAGCTCAGATTCAGAATCCACTACACCACTCTCTCCTTCACCCTAACCGATGTCTCCTCCCTGCAAGTCTCAGCAGTCCCTCACATGCCCAGACAACCGATGTCCAGCCACACCTCACTGGTCCCTGTCCCAGGACTCCTTCACTTTCTGGCCACCAGGCCCTCACTCAAACTATTGCCTCCTTGCTGGTGACACCGCAGGCTCAGGAAAAGAGAGGCCGCCAGGGACAGCTGGGAAATGAGGGCCTTTTCTTTTAGCATTTAAAAGAAAAGCTGGGAAATGGGAGGCTGTGGGAGGGGAGTGGACGGGGGGCAGGGAACAGCCGCTCAGGGACTCTGGGGGAGTCCCTGTCAGAGCCTTCTTTACCGGCCTACAGCCTTAGAATAATTAATAACAAATCGAGGCGAGCTCTTGCTCCCTTGCAAACAAAGATCTGTTTTAGAACATCCGAGGCACATACCCTCCTTCAATCACAGAATCTCAGATTATATCTAAAAAGTGCTATCATTGTAAAAAGACCTACCACTGGAGGGAATGTTGTCCAAAATTGCTAATCTTCATCAAAACACGTTACTTCCTTGTTATTTCTGTGGTTACTTATTTTGACCCAGCTACTCCTTTTTCTTGGTCTGGATGTCACCTCTCAAGGAAGTCATCCTGACCCTGGGCGTGCAGTCTCAGATTTCAGTCTGCTTAAGAATCATCTTGGAGCTCCTCTCAGTAAAGCAGATTTTGAGTTCCACTCCAGAGGTTCTGCTTCAGGAGATTTGGAATGGAGCCCAGAAATGAGCATTTAAAAGAAAAAGGATTCCCTAATGATTCTGATTGGAGTGGTTGTTGAGACCAGCCCTGAAGATCAGCCCTGGCTCAGTTAGGGTTCCTTCTCACATCCTGCCAGGGCATTGCATTGACTTTATAGGACTATTTATTTCAGTTATATATAGATTGTGAGATCTTTGAACATAGGGATTGTCTCTTGTTCCATCCAGTTCCCCGTATGTTTTCTTCATAGAATTCAACGCAGTCTTCTTTTTATCTGAGTACTCATTTGGGATCTGCCTTTCCCATTAGACTGTAAGCACTACGAGAACACAGACCAGGGGTATCTTCTTCACCATAGAATACCCCGGATGTAACTCGATGTCTGTCTCGTAGGTGAGGAGAAGCTTTGGGAGGTAGGATCAGCATGGATTGTGTCTGCCGACAGTCTCAGAAGCCTGGGTCACCAGGGAAAAAACAGCATGAATCACAGAGGAAGTTTAACGGTCACATCATGTTACTTTATTCCATTACTCATCAGGAGGCTGTGCCTGTGCTGCCATGATCTTATCTCCTCTTGGCCTGTCAGTTTGACCCTCAGAATGCTTTGTCCTTTTGTTCTGCGCTTCACCCTTCTCCTGCTCTGCAGGCAGCACAGAGCTGTGGAAAGAGCACTGGAAGAGGTGGAACAAAGTTGGGGTGGGGTGGGGTGGTGTCAGGGGACTGCAGACCTCGGTGGCCTCTTCTCACCTCACCCTCACACACACTGTGTCCTTGCTTGTGGTAAGTGAGGTGGCACAGTGGTCCAGAATACGGACTTCGGGGTCCAACAGAGCTGGCTTTGAATCCTAGCCCTGCCACTTAATGGCTGTGAGAGCTTAACTTCTCTGAGTCTCAGTGTCCTTATCTGTAGAATGGGGATAAAATACCTACATCTTATGGTTGTGTGGATTATAGTAAGAAATTACAGTTATGCACCACATAACAATGTTTCAGTTGATGACGGACCGCATACACGATGGTGGTCCCATAAGATAGTACCATATAGCCTAGCTGTGTGGTAGGCTGTGCCATCTAGGTTTGTGTAAGTGCACTCTATGATGTTTGCACAGTGATGAAATCACTAAGGACGCATTTCTCAGAATATGTCCTTGTCATTAAGTGATACATGACTGTGCATGTAAAGTGCTTCACCTCGTACCTGGCACCTAGAAAATGCTCCATAAAGAATAACTATTAATGAGGGCATGTGTGTTCATGCTCACGTAAGTATGGACTTTCGAATCTTATGGTTTAAACAATAGGGGCTATTGGAATGCAGGCAAAAGTGGCGTAGGTGAGGACTAGGGTTGCAGAGGAGGTGGGTGTATCAGTCGGGAATCTTAGTTGCAACAGACAGAAAACCCACCTCAAACTGACTTAAGTAGAAAAGGTAATTTTAATAGCTCATGTAATTACAAAATTCAGAGGTATTCAGGTATGACTGGATCCAGGAGCTTAGATGATGTCTTCAGGAAGCTGTCTCTATGCATCTTTGGGCTCTCCTTTTTTCATAGTTTCCCCATTCTCAGGCAGGATACCACTTGTGGTAATAAGATGGCTGCTTTCAGGTCCATGTGTATACTCTATCCTGTCAGTAAAACCAGTAGAAAGAAATTCTTTTCCCCAAACCCTCCTGACAGAAGTCCTGGGTCAGACTCTTACTGACCTGATACAGGCCCAGTGCCCATCCTTGCACCAATCACAGAAGCCATGGAAAGAAGCTGACAGGGGCATCATCTCTATTCAAACCACATAAACTTGAGTGGGAGAAATGGGTGAAGAGAGTCAAAAGGTGCAAACTTCTAGTTATAAAAGAAAGAGTCATGTAACATACAGCATGGTGACTATAGGAAATAAAACTCTGTTGCATATTTGAAAGTTGCTAAGAGGGTAGACCTTCAGAGTTCTCATCACAAGAAAACAAGGTTTTTTTTAAGATTGGCACCTGGGCTAATAACTGTTGCCAATCTTTTTTTTTTTTCTGCTTTCTCTCTCCAAACCCCCCCTGTACATAGTTGTATATCTTAGTTGTGGCTCCCTCTAGTTGTGGGATGGGGGACGCCGCCTCAACGTGGCCTGACAAGTGGTGCCATGTCCGCGCCCAGGATCCGAACCCTGGGCCGCTGCAGCGCGTGAACTTAACCACTCGGCCACGGAGCCAGCCCCGAAAAAATGGTTTTGTAGCTATGTGTGGTGATAGATATTAACTAGACTTATTGTGGTGATCATTTCACAATATGTATACAAGTGTCAAATCATTTATACACCTGAAACTAATATAATGTTATATGTCAATTATAACAATTTTTTGAAGTATAATTGACATTATACCTCAAAAAAAAAAACACATAAACTTCAAGTTGGTGCGGGGAGGGGGTATGATTCCCTAAGGAAAATTTGGACACTATTATCAGAAGTAGGGTGAATGGCTGTGCAGTCTGAAACAACAAGTGTTCTCTACGGTGGGCTGTGGAAAACAGATACGAGTTGGGCAGGCAGAGAGGAGGGAGGAAGGCACCCCAGAGATTCAGAGCTGAGCAAAAGTGAGAAGAGGGGAATAAGTGTGCTGTGAGCCCGACTCACGCATCTGGGGCAGGGGAGCAGGCATGTTCTCTGGAGTCCTAGAGAGAAGACTTGGGACCAAGTGGGCTTGAGGATGGGGCAGTCACAGGACCCAGATCTTTGCTCACCGGGAGCATGGAACAGGCTGCCTCTGCTGGAATGGGCTTCTCATCACTGGAGGTGTGCAAGCAGAGCTTCCTTCTCAGAGTGGCTATCAGAGAAGCCTTCTAGATCGGCTCTGAGATCCCTTTCATTTCCCAAATCTGAAATTCTGTGGTCCAGAAATCAGCTCCTCCCCCCACCCCCCACCCCGATCCTGATCCTGACGCCTTCTCTCTCTAAGGCGAATGCTCTGTTAAAGAAAGACTCAACCTGGCCTCCTGGGAGGGACAGGACCCACCACAGTTCTCAGGGGAACCAGGGGTGGGGGCTCTTCAGGGTCTCAAAAGCACCTTCACGCTCGCTGCCTTGTTTGGTCCTCTCACTTGTCCTGTGAGGAGGGCAGAGCGGGAGTCAGGGGTGCTGTTTACCGCATGGCCTTTGGAGTCCAGACTTGAGTCCAAACCATAGATTTGCCTCTAACTAACAACAGGAACTCGGGCAAATCTTCATCTGAGCCAGTTTCCCCTTTTCAAAACACTGTCAGTAATTCAAGCTTGTGGGCCTGTTATTTGCTGTGAAGATTAAACAATGCATGGAAAGTGCTTAGGACAGCCCTGGGCCCTTGTGGGTTGGGCTGGAGAGGGGCGAGTGTGGTGGAACTGAGTTGAGCTGGGTAACAATACCTCCTTGCAGGCACCCAACATTTCACAGGGCATTGCACACCCACAGTCCAGCCTCTGACTGCAGATTAGGGCCGTGTGTCAGTTAGGGTTCTGGCAGGAAACAGATGACACCTTGAAACTGTGTAATTTGAAGAGAGTGTGAAGGAGGGTTTAAGAAACCAACAAAGAATAGTGCAGTAGGCCTGGCTATCAGTGGGTGGAGACGGAAGCCACCGCTGGGCTGAGAGGGCGAGAGGAGGAAGGGGTTACTGGAACCCAGAGAGGGCAGCTGGGCTGGAGCTGCGGCCTTTGGCAGAGACAGCAACCAACTCATGCTGACCCAGCAAGGAGAGAGCTGGGGAAATAAGTACCTTCCTCTCCCTTTTTTTCCTTCCCCTCCCCACTGTGGTCTGCCACTGCCTCCCTTTGCCCCAACCCAGATAGAAGCTCAAGAGCAAGGAGGCCCGTGGTGGATGGAGAATGGTGGTGAGTGCATGGAGGGGCAAGTGGGAGGATGAGTACAGGCAGTGACAACAGTCAGATGGGTGGGGTCCTCGCCACCCCTTTTCAGCCTGCTCTGGGCAAGGGGTGGTATAGAGGAGTAGGAGAACTAAGCAGTGTGGGAGGAGGCTGTAAGCCCAGTCTGGTTACCCTAGAAAGGGGTAGGAGGACAGCCTGAAGTTCCTGAAATACCCACAAGCTGTCTGTCACCTCCAGGCCTTTGTCTGTGCTGGTCTCTCTGCCTGGAATACCCTTCTTCCTAGGCCTGGCTAACTCACCCTTAGATGCTACCTCCTCCTGGATCAATCTGTGCCTGAAGTCAATCCCAAGTCTTTTTAGTTATGAGATCTAAGATACTCTCTTCATTTGAGCTAGTTTGAGCTGGGTTTTCTCTTACTTGCCACCTAGAATTCTAATCCAATGTCACCTTGAGCCCTGTCTGCCCCTCCTCCCTTTTAAGATTTGTCACTGCTTCTTTTATGTTCCCACAGTACCCTGTACAAACTTCTCTCATGGTACTTGTAGCAGCTTATGGTGAATATTGTTTACAGGCATGTCTCCGCTACAAAGCTGTGAGCTCCTTGAAGCCAGGGACCAAGTCTGATCCATCTTTGTGTCCCCTGGGGCCCAGCTCAGGCTGACATACCTCACACTGGCCAGACCACATCAGACATGTTATCTTCAATTCCAAGCAACACAGATTAAGGGCACATTAGCCAATTGGAGCCTGTTGAGCTGAGGGCAGTGGTGTGGAGTCTGGAGCCCATGTTCTATGCAGAACAGAAGCATCAGGAAAGTTTAACTTGAAGAAGAGACCACTCCTGGGATAGAATTCATTCGCTGACTCAACAGGCCATATCTGGGTACCTTCTCTGTATGAGGAGGCCCTGGGCTGGGTCTGAGGGGGCCACAGATGATGCAGCTACAGTCCCTACCTGGGGAGCTCACAGGATGGGGTCAGGCATAGAAACAAGTAACTACAATGCAGTGTGGCCACTGCCACCTGAGGGGGATGTAGGGTGTGGCCAGGGAAGACCCCTCAGAGGAGGCCTTGCAGGAACACAAAGTTATGACAATGTTGGGGGCAGGTTTGAGCTTAGGATAAGGACTAACTTTCTAACTGGCAGAACTCTGCAAGAATGGAAGCTGCCTGCTCCATATCTCGGGCTGGGTGAGCAGGGCCAGGATGACCACTGCACATACTGCATATTGATGTCTGTCAATGAAAGGACCAATGTGGAGGCTATAGGGAATGCCTCGTAAGGGTCGTTAAGCCACTCCTTCCTTTTATGTGTTAGGTACTAGAATACAAAGACACGCCAACAGTGTCTGGCTTAGAAAATCTCACAGTTTAGGAAAATTGAAAAAAGGTAACACTATGGCCTTGAACCAGTGTCTCTTGGACTGGAATAATGTATGGACTGCTTTTAAAGGAAAAAAATTACTGAGGTCCTCAGGGCTGACAACCTAACTATGTTCAAATTTAAACTCAGTATGAACTCCAAGGCAACTGGAAAAGCAAATCTTTTATATAGACAATTTTCATTCAATACAAACTTTTATTGAATATGAACAAAACTAAAAAACAAATAAAATTCTAGCAACAACACGAATGTGACTGGTCATGTTGAGTTCTTTTGCACTCAGCCTGCCAGTTCTGTAGAAGTATTCCAGCTAGTAAGTGAAGAAAGAATGATAGAATCAGAGTGTCACATTTTGCAAACCCCTAATAAAACAATGGATCTAGGGAATGGTCAACACAAAAAAGAAAAAACAAGCAGATATCACCCGCCTCTTGATGAAAGAACACACCACCACCTACGAAGCAGACTTGCCCAAAAAATCACACTGGAATCAGACCAAGTGTCAATATCTACCTTTCAATCTTCAGGAAATACAAGAGAAAAAGACAGAAAGGATCGAGGGGCAACCATAGGTGAAAAGACACTTAGACATTTACAAGACATATGAACCCAATGCAGCGTGTGGACATTGTTTGAATCCTGATTTGAACAAACCAACTGTAAAAAAATGAAAGAAAGAAAGAAACAATTGGAGAGATCTGAATATCGACTGAATATTTGTCATTATTGAAGAAGGTTTTTTATGTGTCATAATGATACTGTGGTTATGTTTTTTTAAAGAGTCCTTATCTTTTGGGAATACATACTGAAATATTTATGGATGACATAATATGGTATCTGTGGTTTGCTTCTCAATAATCCAGGGAGGAAGCGGGAAGTGGGCACCAGTTTAGATAAACTAAGATTGGCCATGAGTTAATGACTGTTTTAGCTGCATGATGGGTACGTGGGGGTTCATTATTGTATGTTTAAAAGATTTTATGATGAAAAATTTTAAAAATGAAAAATCTAAGATTCTAGAACATTTAAAATTCAGGCATCTCCCCTGTACATTGCTGATGGGCGTATAAATTGGTATAACTTTTATGGATGGCAATATGACAATATCTATTAAAATAAAAACGCACATATCTTTTGACTCAGAAAATCACTTCTAGAAATGCAACTTCTGTACTCACCATGTTAGATATAATACACAAACATACACACATTTACATATGGATTCTCATGGCAGCCTTGTTTGTAAAAGTAAAAGATTACTAATAACCTAAATGGCCTCCATAGGGCACTAGCTAAATGAGTCATGGTAAGTCCACTGAATGGAATACTCCGTTTTTAAAAATGAGGATGGTCCTTAAACACTGATCTGAAACAATCGCCAAAGGGCAGTGCTGTGTGTGTATTATGCTACAGACGAGAAAGAATGTATATAATCATGTATGCTTATATATGCATAAACTATTTCTGAAGTACATCAAAAAGACATTTACCATCATTTAGGCCTCCAGGAAAGAGAATTAGGTTTACAGAGGAAAGTGACAGGAGCAAGATTTACATTTCAATGCTACCATTTTGTACCTTCTTATTCCATGTGCATGCATGACTTATGTTAAAAAAAAGATCTGTTTTAAAAGAAAACAAAATTAAGACATTCCAAAATATAATTATAAAGACTATGTAGCAATATGGGAAAATGTTTGTAATATTATGTTTGGTTTAAAAGAATACACAAAATTTTATCCACATAATAATTAAAAGTACATAAAATATGTCTGTTCATGATCAAGTACTGGAGACACAAATGAAAGGGATGTGTTGTTAGGTGGGAATGGAAGTGCTGGTTGCTTTTTTTTACTTTATAGGTATTATAATATGGTATGATAATATGCATGGTAAATTACAACTTGGTAAGAAGAAAAATACGATTTAGATTGCAAAAATCTGATTTCCATGGGGTTTTCAGAGAGAAGCTTTTTCCACAAAGCAAGGTGTACCTGGTCACGTTGCCTGTGCTGGTTCTGCTTGGTTTCCTGCCAGCCTCTCCAGAGGAACCAGATGCTGGACCAGTCACTGCAGCTGGTCATATCTTCACGCTTAGCACTTGTTCACCGGGTCCTGGACAGTCTGTTTATTTATGAGGAAAAGACTCTACACAAAGAAGAAGAGGCTTTCTGCAGGCGGGAAAGCCAGGGTGTTAAATATCCTCCTTCATATGCTCAGCTTCCTTCCTTGAGGAAGGGACCCAGTGGGAAACTGGCAGTGGGCTCTGTCCAGGCAGGAAGGAGAGTCAGGAACCCACAGCAGTGGCCTTACCCGATTCCACAGGCCCCGGTTCAACTGAACTCTGGCCTTCTGTTCTGCATCCTCCCTGGCTCTGCCGACCCACAGCCCACCTGTTCTTGGAGGCTTGTCTCCTCTAGGGCGCCTGCCGTGCTCACCTGTCAGAGGCAACTGTGGAAGGACCCAGACTGGGAGCCGGGACTGACACTACCCCTTACTAACCGTATGACTTCATACAAGTCACTCAGCCTCCCCAGCCTCTGTTTTCTCATCCATGAAATAACCCTACCTATCTTGCCGCGCTGCCAGAGGAGTGAATGAGATGGTCACTTGCCTCATTCCGGGCCCCTCACTACTTCTCTGTCTACTGCTTCTCAGTCTCCTTGGCCTGCTCCTCCTCAGCCTGTGCCTCACATTTATCAGTCCTCTTCCCTCCTCTCTCCTTGGGCTCCCAGATCTAAACTGCTACTCACCACGCCCATGCTCCAGATCCACACACCCAGCTACCTCTTGGGCCTCTCCATTTGCATCTCCCACAAGTGTCTCAAATCTGATTTATCTAAAACGGAACACATCATCTTCCTCTCCAAACTTGGTCCTCGTCCAGTGTTCTTTATCCCAGCAATACCTCTAGCATCCACTCAGCTGCTCAAGCCAGAAACCTGGGGACTTTCCTTGACTCGACTCCGACACCCACGGACAACAGCAGCAGCAGCCACCTTCCACCACGTGGCCTGGGAAACAGAGAAAGCGGGCCTGAAGCAAGACAGAATGAAGCAAAGACACCAAGAAGCCTGGCAGAGAGTAGGAGAGAAAAGACTATGTGAGTTCCTAAAGGGCTACATGCTCTGGTTCTGTTCTTGAGCCCAGCTGCAGCCCACCTCTTGGATTTTACGAGAGCTTCAGGACCTTTTCCAATAATGCTGCCACTGTCTCTTGCTTAAGTTAGTTTGAGTTGGGTTTCTACACTTGCAAATACACCGTACAAGAGTCCTAATTAATACAAACATATCGTATCAATCCAGAATAGGCTAGGCTATGCTGTGGTAAGGAACAACACCCACAATTCGGTGACTTAACTCCATGACATGTCCAGCAGCAGCAGGGGCTCTGCTCATTGCAGTCCCTTAGGAAGCTGCCACCATCCTGAATGTTGTTGGTCACTGTTCCAGAGGGAAAGAGAAACCCTAAGGGGTTTGACACCAGCAATTCAATACTCCAGCTCAGAAGTGGCATGTCACCTCCATTTGTAACTCATTGACCATAGCAAGTTACCTGGCTCAACCCAACCACAAGGGGGCTGTGAATAGTTCTGCCATGTGCCTGAAATATTTGGTGAACAATATTAATAACTACCTTACATTTCCTGCTGCCTATTCCACGCCAATCCCTGAGCCTAATGAAACCAAGGCTTAGGAAGGTCAGGTAACTCAGCCACTATACCAGGCAGAATGATTCTCACTGATCCAGAAGGATAGGAGAGGGTGCGGAATGAGAGAATGTACTTAAGACCGCTAACACAGTACCTGAGACTAAAAATAAATGCTGAGTAAATGTTTCTGGCATTCAAGAACAGGCTGTATAGTCACTTATTAGGGTTGCTGGCTGAGTACCAGATGGGTAGCAACACTGTGCACAGCCTTCCAACCATGAGCATCTAACTCCACTTTTCCTCGAATAATTATTTCTCTTCTTGGCAGTAATACTGCAAAGTAATTATCAACTACTCCCTACCTCGCCCACTCCTACAACAGCACTGTTGGCTCCACGGCTGGGAAACCAAGGCCTACAAAGGATATGGGTAAATTATGGGCGAACAAAGCACCAATCAACTAATACTGACTGAGTGTCCATGACATGTAAAGCATGATGTCCTGAGCTCCAAGTCAGTGTGCACAGCAGGAAAAGTGTGAGAAAGGGGCTTATACTTGGGACCTAGTCCTGGCTTTGTTGTTAATTTACTGTGTGGCCTTGAGCAAGTTTCTTCCAAAGTCTTGATTTTATCTCTGTAAAATGAGGAGACAGGAATATACCTGTAAAGTCCCTTTCAGCTTGGATAACTGATATAAATTATGTGCAGGGTCAAAAACCAAACCTCAGATATGGGAGGACTCACCTTTCTTTCTAGAAGCCAGTGAGGCCACAGAACCCTAGGAGCTCAAAAAGGACTTTAGATATGCTATTATCTAAAGCTGCACTTTCCAAAATGGTAGCCACTAGCCACATGTGGCTATTCGAAGTGTGGCTAAAGTGAGGTGTGCTGTTAAGTATAAAATACACACCAAATATCTAGATTTAGTATTAAAAAAGGAATGTAAAATATTTTTATATTGACAATATTTTGGGTCAAGTGAGTTAATTAAAATGTTACTAAAATTAATGTCACCTGTTTCTTTTTACTTTTTTAATGTGGCTACTTCAAAATGTAAAACTACAATGTGGCTCACATTATACTTCTATTGGACAATACTTGTATAAGGGGAAACTGAGGCCCAGAGAGGGTAAATGACTTGCCCATAAAGCCAGGTCTGGAACCAGGTCACCTGACTTCTCAGTCAAGGCTCTTTCCACCCTAACTGCCTGTGGTAGCCAATTTCCAAGATGGCCCCTAATGATCCTCACCTCTCATCACCTTTGTGTAGTCCCTTCCACACTGAGTAGGATTCGCCTATTAGGAGACAGCAGAAATAACTGTGTGACTTCCAAGGCTGGGCCTTAAAAGACATTGTGGCTTCCACCTTGTCTTTTTCTGGCATCACTTGCTCTGGGGGAAGCCAGTTACCAGGTCATGAGAACATTCAAGCAGCCCTATGGAGTGGTCCACAAGGTGAGGAGGTGAGGCCTTCTGTTAACAACCAACAGCAACTAAGCATGCGAGTGAACCACCTTGGAAGCTGATCCTCCAGCTTCAGTCAAATCTTCAGATGAAGCTGCCCCAGCTGACATCCTGACTGCACCTCATGAGAGACCTTGACCCAGAATCACCCAGCTAAGCTTCTCCCAAATTCCGGACCCACAGAATATATATGAGATAATAAATGTTTACTGTTTTAAGTCGTTAAGTTTTAGGGTGACTTGTTACACAGCAATAGATAATTAATACACAGCCTTATAAACTTACGGATGTCATATAAGATAAACTGACTTCTATCTTGGGCATTTGTACAGTGTGAGAAATTATTCTTGTCTTTCCCCCAGCCTCTGGCCTAGCTCAGGTTACCTAACTAAAAATAGCCATCAGGCTTGGGGAATCCAACCCAGGAAGCCAGGATCCCATTTTATTCTTTAAAAGGGTCTTTCCTTTTTCCCTTTATTGTGGAAAGCACCCAGGTCTCCTGAGAATGAAGAAGCACCACATAACACCACCTTCACTTGGGCCATACAGAGATATGATTCCTACAACATGAAAGGAACTGGAGCCCAGAACTGCCCAATTAAATACAGTCTTTAGGAAGTGATAAATATTTGAGAAATGACACTCTATGCTTTCTGAGTTTCTCTGAAAAATGATGTCAACAGTAGTGCGAATGTATATTTATTTTTTTCATATTATATTTATTCATATAACATGTGTTGCTTTTCATAATGTTTTCACATCTACTATATCTGAGGTGGAAAAGATATAAATAAACCAGGATACAAATGGAAACAATGGCTCAGAGCTCATGCTTTGCTCAGTCGCATGGTGAGTGAATGATGGGACCAAGTCTAGAATCTGGGTGTCAGCGACTCCAAGTAAGGCTCGGTGCTTTCCAAGGCAGGACCTCCCAGCTGTGGTAACATGAACGTCCTTCAGTTGGGGCTATCCTCTGAGATCAACGAGCACTTGTAAGTCTCCTTAAAGGCCTCAAGGAAAAGTGGTATTACTTCATCCACAGTGACGTGCCTCTGGAGCTCCTCACTCAGGGAAGTGACGCCGGTGCCAACCAGCCCGCAGGGCACAATGTGCTCAAACCACGTGAGGTCCGTCGAACAGTTCAGAGCCAGGCCGTGGGACGTGATGTGCCTTCCACAGCGGACTCCTGCAAGACAAGCCAGAGGGTCTTAGAATGGGAACCCTCCGTCCCTGGGATTCACAATCCCCCTCAATGTGATGAAGGAACTGGAGTAGATCACTGGTTTTCCAACTTTGTTTCTGGAGCACCCAAGGAGTCGTGCACAGATCGGGGAAGGGGGACAAAATTAGGGAGGGACGTGAGGCCCCACAGCAGCTGCACTTATTATGGAGATTCCAGAAAACGTCCTTTAACATAAAGATTGTGTTGCTTTAAAAAGAAAAACCTGAAAACTACTAAGCGCCCTTATTGTCCTGACTGTGATTCACGGGAAGTAACCTGGCAATTCACTTCTCGTAAAGACGAGCGTTGGACGAGATGAACCCTGAGGGCCCTTCTGAGGGTTCTGAATGTGAGATGTCAGTAAAGAGGCTTAAAAATTCCCGCGCTGCGGGTAGCTCCGATTCAAAGCCCGCGCCAGACACGCCTCCCCCGCGCCCGCGCTCGCCCTCCCCTCCAGGGGTCAGGCCGCGCCCCGCGGCGCTCACCGATCGCGCAAATCTTGCGCTCGCCGAGCCACACACCGGTGTAGGGCGGGGGCCGCGCGCGGGCGCCCGACAGGCCCCGGAGCTCGCACAGGCGCACAGCGCACGCCTCCAGCGCCGCCACGTGGGTGCGCAAGCGCAGGCCGAGGCGTCGCAGGTCGAGCACGGGGTGGCAAAGCAGTTGGCCCGGGCCGTGGAAGGTGGCCAGGCCGCCGCGGCCTGTGGCGCGCACCTCGGCGCCCAAGGCCCGCAGCCGCGCCGCCTCTTCGGGCGTCAGGCCGCCGCGCAGCCCGGCTGTGTACACGGGCCCCGCAGGCTCGCAGAGCAGGAGCGCGCCCGCCTCAGTCCCCGACAGCGCCTCAGTGCCTGGCTCGGGCTGCAGCCGCCGCAGCCAGCGCTCCTGCAGCGCCAGCAGCTCGGCGTACCGCACCCGGCTCAGCTGCACCAGCCGAACGGCCCGCGGCTGCATGGCGCCTCAGCATCCGCGGACTCCGCCCCCTGCCCGGGCCTGGGGGCGTGCCAGGGGGCGGGGACTCGGGGGCAAGTCCTCAGTACCTGTTACAAGCTGTTGAGAGGCTGATCCCAAGATCCGGTACTAGGTGTGACTCTTAATGTTTCATTCGTTTCAGCAAGCAGTGTTTAGGGCCTCCTTGTTTCTGCAGGCCCTGCCCTAGGCGCTTCGTACAGTGGTGTACAGTGTATGGGGTGGGGGGCGAGGTGTCCAGGGAAGTTACATTATTAGAGCAGACAGTAAGCAAGCATTACAGCATTAGATAAATAAGGCTATTTCACATGTTGATAACTGCTATGGAAAGAAAAATAAAATTGGGTATTGGGGGCCCTAGATGGAGTTCCCTGAGCAAGAGATTCTAAGGAGATGAACTTGCAGGAGCTTTTTGCGGGGGAGAAGATACTTTCAAGACCATGCCTAGAAGAGAGTGATGGAACCAGGGTTAGGCAGAGGGAGAGGTTGAAATGCGAAACAATCTCAGCAGAGGCCTCAGACAATCCCAAAGAATGATCTGAGCCTGGGATGACCTTTTAAAGTTGTTTCAGATGAAAGAAGGGGGCCAGAAATTTGTATCCTTGCATTGACCAGTGATAGATAAAGGCTATATCTGGAGAGGCTCTGTAACTTTTGGCAAGGCTGCTTCCTTCCGTGGAGGGCAATTCCCAGAGAGGGATTATGAGCCCTGAGCAACCTACTCCCAAAAGCTGGGGGAATGACTGGCTAGGTCCGGAGGATGGATCTGGACTACAGCATCCATTATATTGTATTGGAGTGTCATGTAAACAAATCTGAATTCATTCCATAGACTTTTACTGAGTACTATGTGTTAGGCCCGTTGCTGGGTGAAGAGGATACAGGAGGCTATACCACCCCTGTATTCCTAGCAGGGTACAGAACCCAGTTTTTGTGTCTTCAGTCTATCCTCCGAATCTGTCTTCCAAGCTGCAGCCAAGGATGGTGCAATTGAAAAGAAGAACGAAAAGAAGAAAGCAGAAAAGTTTAGAGAATAATGTAACAAATTACTGTTTACCCACCATCCAGCCTTGTCAAATTTTAATATTTTACTATTTTTCTCGGGTCTCTTTTAATTTTAGAAACTAACAACTTGGATTGCTCCCGTAGGTATCTAAAAGACATTTCATAAATATAGACATAAAAATCCTAAAGCAAATATTAGCAAATTGAATCTAGCAATGTCTAAGAGGATTAATACATTGTGATGAAGTAATGTTTATCCCAGAAATGCAAAGTTGGTTTAACTTTCTAAAATCAAGCAATATAATTTATCATAAAGGAGAAAAACCATATGATTATTTTCAATGATGCAGAAAAAGCAGTTGGCAAAAATCAACACCTACTCTGACTAAAACTCTCAGCAAACTGCGAAGAGAAGAGAAATTCCCAATAGATGAAGGGTATTGCATCAATTATGGTTCAGAAGAGAGAAACCACATAGGTAATATTTTAACTAAATTTTGTATTTTGAGAAAATTGCAGACTCACAAGCAGTTGTAAGGAATAATACAGAGAGATACTGCATACCCTGTATGCATTTCCCCCAATGGTAATTTCTTGCCAATGTCAGGATGAGGATTGTGACAATTGATGTTGACAGAGTCAAGATACAGAACCTTTCCATCATGACAAAGATCTCTCATGTTGCTCTTTTCATCTACACCACTACTTAACTCTTGGCAAACACTGTCTGTGTTACATAAATGGAATCATAAAGTAGGTAAATTTTTGGGATTGGTTTTTTTTTTCACTGAGCATAGTTTTTTGGAGACTCGTCTAGGTTATTGTATGTATCAATAGTTCATTTCTTTTTGTTGATGAATAGTATTCCATGGTATAGATGTACCGCATTTTGTTTATTCATCCATTGAAGTATAACTAGGTTATTTCCAGTTTTCAGATATTCTGAATGAAGCTGCTACAAACATTCATGTACAGGTTTCTCATGTGAAGATGAGTTTTCATTTCTCTGGAATAAATGCCCAAGAGTACAATTGCTGGGTCACATGGTAGCTGCATGTTTAGTTTTTCAAGAAACTGCCAAACTGCCCTCCAGAGTGGCTGTACCATTTTGCATTCCCATCAGCAAGATTCGTATGAGCAAACCAGGTTCTGTGCATCCTCACCAGCATTTGGCATTGCCACTGTTTTTTATTTTAGACATTATGACAGGTGTATACTGGTATTTCATTGTGATTTTAATTTGTATTTCCCTAATGGCTAATGGTGTTGAACATCTTTTCATGTGCTTATTTTCCATCTGTATATCCTCTTCAGTGAAATGTCTGTTCATGTCTTTTGCCCATTTTCTGATGATTGTTCTTTTCTACTGTTGAATTTTCAGAGTTCTTTGTATATTCTGTAGACTGTCTGTCCTTTGTTGGATGAGTGGTTTGTAAATAGTTTCTCCCACTCTATGGCTTGTATTTTTATCCTTTTAATGGGGTTTTTTGCAGAGCAAACGTAATTGTGATAAAGTCCAGTTTGTTCACTTTTCCTTTTATGGATCATGCTTTTGGTCTAAGTCTGTGCCTCACCCGAGATCCTGAAGACTTTCTCCTGTGTTTTCCCCTAAGTTTTGAAACTTTGGTCGTGTTTTCTTGTTTTGTTTTGCCTATGGCTGTCCCGTTGCTTCAGCACCATTTGTTCAAAGGCTGTTTCTTCCGTTAAATTGCTTTTACACCTTTGTCAAACACCAGTTGAGCATATTTGTGTGGCCAATTTCGGGGTTCTCTTCCGTTGATCTATGTCGCTTCCCTCCACTAACACCACAAATTCTTGATTGCTGTAACTAATAAGTCTTAAAGTCAGGTGATCTGATTCCTCCCACTTTATTCTTTTTTCCAAAATTGATTTAGTTATTCTAAATTGTTTTAGTTGTTTGCCTTTCCATATAAATTTTAGAATAATCTTGTCTGGATCTTAAAAAACTCTTGATAGGATTTTCATAAGACTTGCATTAAACCTGTCTATCAATTTGGGGAGAATTGACATTTTTGCTACATTGGGTCTTCCAGTCCGTGAGTGTGGTCTCATTATTTACTTAGATCTTCTTTGACTTCTTTCATTAGCGTTTTGTAGTTTTCAGCATACAAATCTATACATATCTTGTTAGATTTATACCTAAGTATTTCTCTCTTTTTAAGGTGATTTTAAATGGTGTTTTAAATTTCTGTGTCCATGTGTTCATTGCAAAGATATAAAAGTACAATAGATTTTTGTATATTTATCTTGCATCCTGCAAGACACTTTGTTGAACTCACTTATTAGTCCTAGGAGTATTTTGTAGATTCTTTAGGATTTTCTCTGTAGACAGTCTTGTCATCTGCAAACAAGAACAATTCTATTTTCTTGCTTTCTGTTGGGTATGCATTTAATTCTCTCTCTTTTTTTTTATTTTTTAAAGATTTTATTTTTTCTTTTTCTCCCCAAAGCCCCCCAGTACATAGTTGTGTATTTTTAGTTGTGGGTCCTTCTAGTTGTGGCATGTGGGATGCCCCCTCAGCATGCCTTGATGAGTAGTGCCATGTCCGTGCCCAGGATCCGAACCGGCGAAACCCTGGGCCGCCTGAAGTGGAGCACGCGAACTTAACCACTCAGCTGTGGGGCTGGCCCACGTTTAATTCTCTTGTTTTGCCTTATTGCACTGAATAGAACTTCCAGCACAACGTTGAATAAGAGTAGTAAGAGCAAACATCCTTGCCTTTTTCTAATCTTAGGGGGAAAGCGTTCAGTCTTTCACTGTTAAATATACTGTTAGTTGTAGGTTTTTTGTAGATAGTATTCATCAAGTTGAGGAAGTTTCCCTCTACTCCTGGTTTCCTGAGAGTTTTTATCATGAAGGATGTTGAATCTTGTCCAAAGCTTTTTTTGCAATGATTGATATACTCATGTGATTTTTCTTCTTTAGCCTGTTAATATGGTAGATTATATTGATTGATTTTTGAATGTTGACTAGCCTTGCATAGCTGGAATAAATCCCACTTGGTTATGGCGTAGAATTCTTTTTATACATTGTTGTATTCAGTTGGCTAATATTTTGTTGAGGATTTTTTTTCTTTTTGAGGAAGATTGGCCCTGAGCTAACATCTATTGCCTATCTTCCTCTTTTTGCTTGAGGAAGATTGCCACTGAGCTAACATCTGTGCCAATCATCCTCTATTTTATGTGGGATGCCACCACAGGGTGGCTTAGTGAGCAGTGCTAGGTCCACCCCCGGATTCAAACCTGCAAACCCTGGGCTGCCAAAGCACAGTGTGCGAACCCAACCACTATGCCACCAGGCCAGCCCCTGTTGAGGACTTTTACATCTAAGTTTATAAGAGATATTAGTCTATAGTTTTCTTTTTTGCTATAGGGTAATATACTAGCTTCATAAAATGATTTGGGAAGTCTATTTTCTGGGAGAGATTGTGCAGATTGTCTTCATTCTTCTTTAAACATTTCGTAGAATTCTCTGTGAAATCATCTGGGCAGGGAGAGTTCTTTTCTGAGATTTTTAAAACCACAAATTCAATTTTCTTAGTTATAGGGCTATTCAAATTATCTATTTCATAGTGGGTGAGTTGTAGTCATTTGTGTTTTTCAAGGAATTGGTTCATTTCATCTAAGCTGTCAATATTTACATGGTCTGCAGTGTTGTCCTTTTTGTCATTCCTGATGTTGGTAATTTGTATCTTCTCTTTTTTGTCTGTCAGTCTTGCTAGAGGTTTGTCAATTTTATTAATTTTTTTAAAGAATCAGCTCTGTTTCATTGTTTCTATTGTTTTTGTTTTCAATTTCATTGATTTCTGTTCTTATCTTTATTATTTTCTTCCTTCTGCTTGCTTTGGGTTTATTTTGTTCTTATTTTCCTATGTTTTCTAGGTGGGATCTTAGATAATTGCTTTGATATTTTTCCTCTTTCCTAGCATATAGGTAGAGTGCTATAAATTTTTCCCTCTTAGTGTGACTTTAGCTGTCTCCCACAAAGTTTGATATGTTCTGTGTTCATTTTCCTTCAATTCAATGTATTTGTTTTGTTTCCCTTGAGACTTCCTCTTTGATCCATGGATTATTTAAAAGTATGTTGTGTTCCTGTTATCTTACTGTTACTGATTTCTAGTTTGATTCCATTGTGGACAAAGGATACACTCTGCATGATTCAATTCTCTTAATTTTTTTTTTTTTAATGGCCAAGCATGTGGTCTATCTTGGTATATGTTCTGTTGGCATTTTAAAAGAAGGTGGATTCTTCTGTTGTTGGATGCAGTGTTCTATAAATGTTAATTAGAATCTGTTGGTCAATGGTGTTGGTGAGTTCTATATCCTTGCTGATTTTCTGTCTAGCTGTTCTGCCAGTTGTTGAGAGAAGGGTGGTAAAGTCTCCAACTATAATTGTGGATTTACCTATTTCTCCCTTAAGTCTCATCGGTTTTTGCTTCACATATTTTGCAGCTCAGTGCATATTCATTTAAGATTGTTATATCTTCTTGGTGAATTGACCATTTTATAATATTCTTCTCTGTCTCTGATAATTTTCTTTGCTCTGAAGTTTATCCATTATTATGGTAGCCACTCCTACTTTCTCCTTTGATTAATTTTGCATGATATATCTTTTTTCCATCCTTTTGCTTTCAATCTGCCTTTATTGTTATATTTAAAGTGAGTTTCTTATAGACAACATATGGTTGGGTCATGCTTTTTCCCACTCTGTCA